TTCTGATGAGAACAGTGTAAGCGTTCAAGCAAACCACTTCTGAAGATGCAAGCCACTCGTGCTTGCGAAACGTCAGGAAGAAATTCCATTTTACGACGGCCTCAAAAAGTCTATCTCTTTGGCTGCTGCCCCGCCCACATCTCTCGGCCCTCCTACTGCCCATTCGTCCAGAATATACACTTCTCGACAACAACAACCAAAGTCTTTAGATCTAAGTACCTTTAGGAACTCCGCCTGCTTATCCTCATTGAGAAACTTCAGGGCAATATGAGCCTTCCATCCTTTGCGCGCCTTCCATATACCTCGAAACACGTGGGTGAGTTGGCGCGAGCCATCCATGCGCGGCACTAAAAGTCGAACAAAAAATTATAAAACGAACGTCAACGGAAAAAATGAACGACATTTCAAAAACTGTCAGTTGTCACTGAAACCGTCTATTGGCGCGTTTGGCGCGCGCCTCCAAGTGGCAGAACTTCAAGTACAAAACCAAACAGCCAGCAACCGCGCAAAACACTGCAACAGTTAAGCAAATGACAGCCGCCAGGACCGCCCGCTCGGTGCGAAACAACCCGAAAATTGGCGCAGTCAGACGGTCTTCCATCAGGTGGGTGAAAAAATTTGGCGCTTTTTTCACGTTCAGTCTCACGTGATTGGTCACCCAGTGCAGATTGAGGTCTTTCTGCTCGACCACGCACTGCCACGCCCCTGAATTCGACTCATTCAGCGGATCCAACTGGTGGGCGTTGACTGCGGCAAGAGTGGTCACGCCATGATCGCGATATGTTGCATTGTTGACCGTTAACGTCAAACTAAGGTCCGCGTAAACATAACCTAAAATCACCGAGTGACATTGCAAGACGTATGTCAGTGTGGCTCGGGTGTCCACGTCATAGTTGGCGGCTCGCACGGCTAAGCTGATGACTTTGAGGACGACGCGATGGTTGTTGGGACGGTAAATCATTGAGACGTAGACGCCGGCGTCTTGCGGCCTGGCCGCCTTGATGTGGACATCGTCGCCTTGAAAAGTCACGCGATCGCCCACGTTGATAAAGACGCCGTTGAGTGTCCACTCGAAATAGGCCTCAGGCGACTGTTTCCGAATGGACTTTAGCATTTTCCGGTCGTTCATCAACACCAGGGATTCGCCTTCGGAAATAACGAAACTGTAGGCGCGTTTCCGCAGGTTTTCGCGGATTTCCTCCAGGGTGTCCAGAGCAACGTCGCCGCAGGGGAAATCATTGCACACTCCAGTCGCAGTGGGACTTCTGGAAAACATCCACGGTTCAGAGCAAGTTTGGTGGCGTGCGATCGTCGCCCACCCTTGGCAGAGTTTCCCGAATATGTTCGGATGGGGATTCGAGCAGGTGCGCGTGCGAAAACCCTCGCCGCYCCCGCAGGACACACTGCAYGTCCAGGACGACCACTTGGACCAGCCGCCGTCCACTGGCGGCCCGTCCAGATCCAGCGGATCGCAGTTAGCGCTCCAAGTGACCCACCCGGCGGCTGCCGCCACCGAGAACCAGTAGATCAGAAGGGGTCGATTGGACTCATAACGCAACACCAATTGATCATGAGCCTTAATGTCCAGAACGTGTTCGGTCCAGCTGAGGTGGAAATGCGTCCAGTTGCCGGTTGCGAGCAGGTGCGGCACTTGTTTCTCCTGCAGGAGGGCGAGTTTGCCTTGGGAACCGCGAGGCGGCGCCTCCACTCTGTTCAGACTCAGCAGGCCTGAAAATAGGCGCGGGATTGCGGAGCCGCCAGCTGCCGCCTCACAGAAGCGTCCAGGCACTTCTTGTCAATTCTATCGATTGCGGCGATTCGAAGCTAGCGGCTGTTATGATTTAAGACGATTTAAGGTTAGGTGATTTTTTCCCGGCATTTTGTTGTAACCGTAAACTCTATGGATTTTATTAATATAGTGTTGGACTTTGACTGTGGTAACTTAATTAATATTGATGAAATTATTGGACTTATAAAGTTTGATTTAGAAGAACTTAACGATGTGTTTTTTAACGTTACTCTATATATTATGTACACCAATTGGGGCGTTTTAATAATAAAAATGTATTATTGACCAAATAGATAGTTGGCCTAAGTTATTTTCCTATGTGCAATGTGCAAATTTAATTAAAACAAATATCAACGATTTTTTAATTTTAAAGTAACAGAAAAAATAAAATTACTATTCTAAGAGTCAAGAAATATTGAGCAAAAGAATTGCTGGTATCTTCTGTTTCCATTTACTTTTTGTTTAACATGTCACACTAAGCAACACATGAAAATAATTGCCTTTTTACACTATTTCAACAAAAGTGGAAAACCAACAACGTAGTTCGACTTTTTAGTAGGTAGTACTATGTGAATAAATTTCATTATATCGGGCGTATAAAATACTAGGATTTGTAATCAGAAACTTTAAATATTTTAACAATAATACAACATTTTTTTATTACCTTTTTAGTATTTAATGTCATAAGCACTCTTACTTGTTATTGCCACTTGGGTGATGTTTATTATAAGTTTTACCGATAAATAAATCTATGGAATGTATTTACTAATTTGAAAACTATCCATATAAATGTATCGATGCATGTAAGGATATTCAATATACTGTCAAATATACAATAAACCAAACATTTTAGGAGATTTATTTAATGGTTTAAGTTGCTTACTTAAATACTACGAATTCAAAATCTAATACCTATTTAAGTTGATCAGAATAAATCATTTGTAAATTGTTATAAATTAAGAAATACTCATAATTATCACTGTCTTTCTTTGTGCTAAT